CAGCGCTGGGGCTGCCCGGGCCCTCTATCAGCGCACACAGCTGTGGGCAGGGAGCTGTGGCTTCCTAAGTGGCCAAAACCATCTCCTGCCCTTCAGCACAGCCCTCACTTTAACTGTGCTGCCACACCACCTTCTCCTTGGAAAAGTCTCAACCAGAGACCGGCTCCATCATTTCTTGCTTCCGCGCAGTAAGTAGGGAGGGTTGCACCCAGGAGGAGCCCTTGCATGTCCCCCTGCCCCCCCACCCCCCCGAGCTGCACCTTTTTACATCCTGGGAAAAAGTTCCCTTGCACCATCATCTGCTGCTTCCTCTGCTTCAAGGCAGCTCTTTCTCAGCATGCTCGGGCCTTCAACCCTTGAGACACCTCGACCTGGAGACCTCAGCCTAGTTAGCATACCGGCAAGAAACAGTTTCTGCACATTACCTCAGCTAGTTGTTTGTGGTGTAGAGGAAGGATCCTTTCTTTCTGGCTTGCTTTAACATCTGTGGCAGAAGCCGCAGCACAGACCAGGCAAGGAGATTAGAGGCAGAGGAAGGAGCTCGGTTTTGCAATTCTTCCTGCCCTCTGTTCCTGCAGCCAAGCTGTCTCCACTTCCCTGGCCCATAGGTCACTGCAGAGCATCTTGAGTTGCAGGGCTGGAGGGTCACCCGAAAGCTGCAAGGGGAGATGCTACAGAGGAGGCAAGAAACAGTTTTCTACTGGTTTTCCATTCAGCGGACTGTGGTGGGCCAACGTCGGCCAGCAGCTATACACCCACCAGCCACTTGCCCACTGCCTCCATAGCAGAATGGGAGAGGGAAAATTGGAAAAGCAGAAGTAAGAAAAAAGCCTTCGTGGGTCAAGATAAAGACAGTTTCATGAGGGAAAGAAAAGTGATGCAGAAGCGTCTACTTACCACCTCCCACCAGCAGATCGATGCCCAGCCAGTCCTCAAGCAATGGTGCCTTGGAAAAACTTCCCCCCTGCCGGTTTTATTGCTGAGCATGAGGCTACATGGTATGGAATATCCCTCTGGTCTGCTGGGGTCAGCTGTCCCTCCTGTGTCTTCTCCCAGCCTCTCTCTCACCCCCAGCCCACTTGCTGCAGAGGCATTTTAGTTCAGCTTGTACTAAGGCCCCTGGAGGCAGCAGCAGAGGCAGAACTTGGGGGGCAGCACTGGGTGTCCGTTTTTTGGCTCTGCATCAGCGATTCCCAACAGAAAGCAAGGGCTAGGAAGGGAGAGAGCAAACATAACCCTGGCCTTCTCATAGGTTCCCAGGGATTAAGCCTGCGCTTGGTTTCCCCTCCTCCACAGCACTACTCTTACCCTCACCCTGGACCTACAGCATCCCCCATGACACCACCAGTCGGTCTCCCATGCCACACACCCATGTTCCCAATTCACAGCCCTTATCATTGCTTCTGCCTCTCTGTCTCACCTTTCCAGGTAGATGAATGCAGTAGGACACCTTGGACCTTCAAAAGGTCCTGCACCCCACCTGCTTCGCTCCTTGAAGGAGAAGGAGCAGAAGACCCAAGCAGTCCACTGTGACAAGCCTTGCTCAAGGGGAAAGGACACTCTGTACCAGAGGAAAGGGGTGCACAGGTTAGGGGTCATCTGCAGGCACACTCTTCCCGTGGCTGGTTATGAGCAGTGAGGAGGAGTCCAGGAGAGATGCTGGGGTCCTGACATCCAGATGGGGAGAGCAAAGAAGCAGGGATGGCATCTCCTTGCTGAACCTGCTTCCCTCAGTTGAAGGCAAGAGGGAGATGACGGTTAATGTCAGCCATCCTGCTAGCGATAATGCTTTAGCCCCACATTTGCAGTCCACTTTTTCATCTCTGTCCCGGGTTCACCTTTTAATCCAGCCCATCAGCTTCCTCCCCTGCTCCAGAGCCTGTTCCCCACACGCCAAGGGTTGATCTCCCATGAGGTTGTTGCCCCAACCTTGATTTCATTTGCAGATTGTTTTGATTGGGTGTTTAGAAGAACAAGGTGATCCAGGCTGTTTCCCAGTTCCCTTAGCACCTCACCAACACCGTATGTGACTCCGGGAAATAGGAAGGAGATCATGAGATGATGGTGCCTGAGGGTCATGGAAACATGCAACTGCATTGCCCCTGGCTTGAGGAGCACCGTGCTCCTTCTCCAGTGCAGAAAGCAGAGTCTGTATCTTCACCTTGCCACCAGCCTTCTTTAGGGACATGAACATCTCACTGCTGTTGGGAGCCCTGGCAGCAGGGGCCACCCTCATGCTGCCTGTCCCTATAGACTTGTGACACCGTTCACAGGGTGCTTTGGAACACTCTGCCACTGTGTCCTCCAACAAGCCCCTCAGCTACTGCAGGCCTCACAGCTGATTTGGCATCTGCTGCATCGCATGGGCTTGTGCACAGCAAGGAACAAAGCTGAGACGTGACCACCAACCTCTGGGAGCATTGCTCCTGGGGGCTGGGCAGGCCTGGAGAGAAAGGTGAAAGCCCTAATAGCATCCCTGAGCTGTTCCCTTCAGGCTCCTCCATGGTGGGTGGACGGAGCTGCCCTGGGCTGAGCACGAACAGACCTACCCCAGCACACATGCAAGTGCCTCCTCTTTCATTTCCGAGAAGCCCATGAATTCAGCAGTAAGGGTGAAGCCTTCCCTTGGGAAGGTCCATGCTTGCTGGACATCAGTTGAATGGAGGATCAGGTTCAAAAGCACATCTCAGAGTGTTATCATTGGTCTTAATGAAATGTCAAATGTGATTGAAGCAACTGGGAAGCTGCTCAGAGTCCGTTGTATAGTCCTGGTCCAACTTCGGTGAAACGTAACTAGACATGATTTAAGACTAGATTTAGGAAGTAGCTACTAGACAATGTGGCTCCATTAGAAAGGGTGATGGATCGTGGTTTGGTAAGCAACCATGAAGAACCGCTTGGGACTGACAAGACTAGAGAAGTAGGCAAAAGGTAATTCTGGCAAGGGGAGATCACAACCACCAACCCATTGACCACCTGCCCAAATGATACCACCTACTTAGAAAGGACAATAGAAGAAGATGACAGAGACTGCACACTAATTTGCATTAGAAGCGAGGAAGAAGAACCAATCACCAAAGGGAATAATGATGAATATGGATTAGTTAAGTGTGTAATTATGAAAAACTCTTTGAGGTCAGGTGTGCTTTCTTGGGACAGACACCCATTAATGTACATCAATGAAATAAAATACCTTGACCCTGTGGGTGTATTGGTGTTTTGCACACCAGGTACTGGACCCCACTTGTGGGATAACAAGAAGCAGCACATATCTCTATCCTCCCCTGGAATGTGGCAGTTTCCACTAAGCAAAATAATCCAGTTGCCGGAAAACATGCCTCAATGTGAGATGCCCTTCATCATACAAAGTTGTGGTTTCTCTAGCTTCTTTTCAGCTCACATGGGACATTCTGAGCCTGTTGCAGGCTCCTCAGCACCATAAGCAAAAGTAGCTTTTCCTCCACCAGAATGGGCGACCAAAGGTGGGATCCATCTTGCGGTGTTGCAGGTCACAGGCGAGCTCATCACCTGGGCTTGTGCTGCAGGCACAGGGACGAGCACAGCCATGGACCGATCCCACTGACGTGCCTTCACTGTCTCCTGCGGGATGCGGTGAAGTATTTTCTCAAAAGTTCCTGCAACTCCCCACAGGCTAAAGGCAGTGGAGACAATGCCTCAGACACAGACACTTGGCGCTGACACACTTACTGACAGAT